TATTACGATTTATTACGATTTATTACGATTTAGTACGATTTATTCGATTTATTCCGATTTATTACGATTTGTCACGATTTATTACGATTATTTACGATTTATTACGATTTATTACGATTTATTACGATTTATTACGATTTATTACGATTTATTACGATTTATTACGATTTATTACGATTTATTACGATTTATTACGATTTATTACGATTTATTACGATTTATTACGATTTATCACGATTTTATTAGGATTTATTACGATTTATTACGATTTATTACGATTTATTACGATTTATTACGATTTATTACGATTTATTACGATTTATTACGATTTATTACGATTTATTACGATTTATTACGATTTATTGCGTTTTTTTACGATTTATTACGATTTATTACGATTTTTTTACGATTTATTACGATTTATTACGATTTATTACGATTTATTACGATTTATTACGATTTATTACGATTTATTACAATTTATTACGATTTATTACGAATTATAGCGATTTATTACGATTTATTACGATTTATTACGATTTATTACGATTTATTAAGATTTATTACGATTTATTACGATTTATTACGATTTATTACGATTTATTACGATTATTACGATTTATTACGATTTTATTACGATTTATTACGATTTATTACGATTGATTACTAATTATTACGATTTATTACGATTTATCACGATTTATTACAATTTATTACGATTTATTACGATTTATTACGATTTATCACGATTTATTACGATTCATTACGATTCATTACGATTTATTACGATTTATTACGATTTATTACGATTTATTACGATTTATTACGATTTATTACGATTTATTACGATTTATTACGATTTATTACGATTTGTTACGATTTATTACGATTTATTACGATTTATTACGATTTATTACGATTTATTACGATTTATCACGATTTGTTACGATTTGTTACGATTTATCACGATTCATTACGATTCATTACGATTTCATCACGATTTATTACGATTTATTACGATTTATTACGATTTATTACGATTTATTACGATTTATTACGATTTATACGATTTATTACGATTTATTACGATTTATTACGATTTTATTACGATTTGTTACGATTTATTCCGATTTATTACGATTTTTTACGACTTTTATATTACGAGTTATTACGATTTATTACGATTTATTACGATTTATGACGATTTATTACGATTTATTACGATTGATTACGAATTACAACGATTTATTACGATTTATATTCGATTTATTATAGTTATTACGATTATTACGATTTATGACGATTTATTACGATTTATTACGATTTATTACGATTTATTACGATTTATTACGATTTATACGATTTATTACGATTTATTACGATTTATTACGATTTATACGATTTTACACGATTTTATTACGATTTATTACGATTTATTACGATTTATTACGATTATTACGATTTATTACGATTTATCACGATTTATAGGATTCATTACGATTCATACGATTTATTACGATTTATTACGATTTATACGATTTATTACGATTTATTACGATTATTACGATTTATTACGATTTATTACGATTTATTACGATTTATTACGATTTATTACGATTTATTACGATTTATTACGATTTATTACGATTATTACGATTTATCACGATTTATTACGATTTATTACGATTTATTACGATTTATTACGATTTATTACGATTTATTACGATTGATTACGAATTATTACGATTTATTACGATTATCACGATTTATTACAATTTATTACGATTTATTACGATTTATTACGATTTATCACGATTTATTACGATTCATTACGATTCATTACGATTTATTACGATTTATTACGATTTATTACGATTTATTACGATTCATTACGATTTATTACGATTTATTACGATTTATTACGATTTATTACGATTTGTTACGAATTATAACGATTTATTACCATTTACTACGATTTATTACGATTTAGTACGATTTATTTCGATTTATTCCGATTATTACGATTTATCACGATTTATTACGATTTATTACGATTTATTACGATTTATACGATTTATTACGATTTATTACGATTTATTACGATTTATTACGATTTATTACGATTTATTACGATTTATTACGATTTATTACGATTTATTACGATTTATTTACGATTTACCACGATTTATTACGATTTATTACGATTTATTACGATTGATTACGAATTATAACGATTTATTAAGATGTATCACGATTTATTACAATTTATTACGATTTATTACGATTTATTACGATTTATTACGATTTGTTACGAATTATAACGATTTATTACCATTTACTACGATTTATTACGATTTATTACGATTTAGTCAGTTTCAACAAGACGGTTGCTCCAGTAAACAGTGTCTGTTTTTGCTTACTATAGTGGGTTATTTTTGAGAGACAATTTTCAAATTTGAACCCAGTGCTGCATCTACATGTGAGCAATTTTTATAAATTATACGCTGAAAAACTGCAACTCAGAAACACTGATTTTGAGGATTAATTACAAAACGCAAATAAGTACACAAAAAAACAGCACGAGAAAAATCGACAAAAACGACCAGTGAGTATATTCCTAATCACCATATATTTACGAAAGAC